AAAACTTTTAAAGTGTCGCCTATGGTAAATTTTGGGTATGGTAGTTTTTAGCGATTTCGCGGGTGCGCACAATTTTAAAGCTTGACATGTTTGGTGTCTATTTACCCGATGTGACCCCGTCTTTTCAGTAAATTTTATACTTCTTTGTCCTTTTATTCCCAGAGACTGTTCTCCTCTCTTAGCATTCGCAGTCCCCGGTGATGAGTCACAATGGCGGGCGCAGGATCTACAATAGATTTTTACTGCAAACAATAACAACTGTTAACTAAGTACCGCAGTGGTGAATACTGAACAATGGGCTGGCCAGGAAGGGGGTGTAAACACCTGGTCAGCAAGTGGTTAAAGGGTGCCGTGACTAAAAGAGGTGGAGACTCGCTCCTGTAACCTACCTAAATCGTACAGCGCTTACCCCTTAGGCTCCTCTCACATGGGCATTCCGATCAGGTCCGCCTGCCCGTTTTTCCGATGGAGCTGATCAGAAGCCTGATGTTAGTCTATGGTCAGCTGGATATAAATGGAAGGGTGTCCATTTAAATCCGGCTAGCCCCAGCTCCGGCCAGGTCAGGAAAAACAGAGTTTTGTTTGGTCAGACCGGATCATACTGGATTGGGGGTTATCTGATGTAAGCAGACACAAGTTTATTTACATCCGACGTCCCATAGACCAACATGAGTCCGGTAATTTCAGGTTTGTTTTTTTTACTTGCAATTAAAAAACTGGATGAAGATGAATAAATGTCACCAGCACACCACCAGTAGCGCAGTCCAAAGAGTTTGTTTATTGGAACGTCATGCCACCAAAACTAGCGCTTTCGGGGCCACGCGGGGTCCCCTTCATCAGGCTCAGCAATGTGGAAAAAAAACTGGATGGACATGGATGTCACAATAGCGCCAGCGTTCCGATTACAGGGGATCCGTGCATGGATCATCTGCTGATTGGAACTGAAGGTGCCCATGTGAAAGGGGCCCAATGCACAAGGCTTACATCAGCATGCTTCTCCCTCGGGAGTAAGCCCTCATTCACAGCTATAGTTTAGGTGCGTTTAGGGATTCCTGCGTCATGAACTTGCCATTTCCTGCAACAGGAATCCCAAATCTTCTATTTACAAGCAGCACCTGTCACCTGTTCAAGTTAATGATTGGGTGACAGCGGCCACATTTGAAAGAGGCTGAATGCCGACACTCCACGCGTACTTGTATGCAATACGATTACATCACTACCTCTGGACGCTGATCAAGTGAGATTTTCTGTCACTTCCTGTGGCGGTAACAGCATTGGTGACATTTCTCTAACAGGAACACAATGGCAACAAAAACACTTTTTAGGGTTGGGGAAGATAAAACCACGATATAGTTTTATAGTGCTATGTCTCCATTGAAGATTTTCACCAGCACAACGCCTGTGTTGTCACCAGGACAGGAAACAAAGAGAAATCTTCCCAATGGGACACAGAACAGGTTTTGTTTACAGATACGCTTTGAAAAAGTAAGTTCAGCCAACATTCGTCTTGTTTAATTTTGTTGAGCGTAGGGAAGTATTAGAACCTCTGTCAGGTTTTGCTGTTATCTGGTGCTCCGTTAGAGAGATTCCCTTCACTTCCTGCCAGAGTGACAACTGTTTTAGTAGAAAGGAAGGACATTCTGTAACAGGGACACTGACAGAGATTCTGGCCTTCTCTTACATTGCTGAAGAAAGTGTTTGTTTGTTTTTTACATGTACTGGTCAGAGCTAAGCTGAACAATATGAGCCATGTCAGTCTTATGAGCTCACACCTCGAGCAGCAGCTTTATTCCCAGTCTCGTATAGCTTACTACCCATATACCAGCTGCTGCCTCCAGCCCTCCACCAGAGTCCTGGAGCTTTGAAACAATGCAGGATACAAACATGCACGGATTCAGCCAATCACAACACGGGCGAAAATACCGCGCCTGATTGGCCCACTAGCGCTTCTAAACCACCAATAGCAGCGCTCAGCTAAGAACCAATGGGAAGCCCCAAATTCCACCATTCGGCGCTCAAGCATTTCAGGGCGGGCCTAAAAACGGATAGGAACGCCCACGGTAATTAGCGCAGCCAATCAGAGACGGTAAAGTTGGTGACGCAGTATAAAAGAACGTGACGTAGGCATTTAGTGGCTGTCTGGTATATGAAGCGCGGTCCCACGGATTGTGATTTGTGAGAGTGACTGGTCTTGGAAGGAGGTAAGTGGTGGGTTTTCTATGGCTGCGGTATTGTTTTAATGGGGGATACATTGGGTTACTGTGTCCTTCTGACTGGGGGTGTAAAGTGTCCGTTGGGAGAATTCTCCCTGTACAGAATGGAGATTCCGCGGACGGGACTTTCCATGGAGGGCCTAACCTGAGTTATGTAACCGAGCTGCGCTGCGTGCATGTCGTCATCGCTTAATGATTGTGTAGTCGCATCGCTGATCTCCCTGGCTTCCAGTGTTAGATGTTCAATCCAAATCATTGTGGGGGAGGGGTGAGAGCCTTTGCTGGCTCTGTTTTTTTAGTGGGATTGTCTTCCTGTCATGATTATTCTTCCAGAGAGGAATTGAGGGCAGATCGGCCAATAAATAAGATGGAACCCTCGTCCGAATCTTATCCATGGCGCAGACTGCCCCTCACTTCCGGTTTGTAAAACGTTTGTCTCCTGGACAGGAAGTGGGGAATATCTGTAATGGGGCCTTGAGTTGCGGTAAGATTCCAATTATAGCACTTTAGGCTCCATAGTCAAAGCTGAAACCTTGAGATAAGGATTATTTTCCTAGAAGTCCAATAGAGACAAGGATTGAAAATTACCATCACATGGATGGAAATAAAGATCATTATCCTTGTGTTAAAGCTTTGTGAACTGAGGGGGACATCTTAGTGTATGGAAGCACTTTATACTGATATCTGGAGCTCTCTGTTAGAGAGATTTACCCTTACTTCCTGTCCTGCTGATAATGGCTTCCACCAAACAGGAAGTGAGAGAAAATTTACAACCATAAAACCGATGGAGGTTCTGGTTCCATTATGGAATCTGATACTCTGTTAAAATCAAATCAGTGATGGTCTCTAACCACAAAAGGGAAATCAAATTAAAAGAGCAGAATGGGAACTTCTCTTTTTTTTTTTTCTTTATATAATTTTTTTTTTTTACAAATGAAATTATAACCATAATTGTGCCTTTTTATTTTGGGAAACTATTAATTTCAAAATCAGATGGTAAAATAAAACACCATTTTTAAATGACGTTCTTTAAGTCTCTGATGGCATTATCAAATGTTCTGATGGGATTTCTGTATAAACGCTCGTATGGAAATCTTTGCATGGCCAGTGTTACTTCTGTCTGGGTAAAGGTTGTCGGCAGGACAGGAAGTAATGGCCAGTGTTACTTCCTGTCTGGGTAAAGGTTGTCGGCAGGACAGGAAGTAAAGAAATCGTGGATCAGCTTTGGATAGCAGTAAGTCTGACGGGGTCTTACCCTTCCCTACTATTCAAAATTAAGAAAAGGCTTTGGCTGGCCATGGGTCCTGTAGCTCTATGTACATTGAGGGATAGTTATCAAAGCTGGAGCCAGTTGCCCATAGTGACCAATCCGCTTCTATCTTCAGTTACACTTTGCAAATGAAAGATGGAAGCTGATTGGTTGCAATGTACAGCTGTGCCAGTTTTGATACATTCACCCCATTGTACTTTATCCCCCATACCATCCGCACTCAGGCCTTGCAACGGGCAGTTGAGTTGCTTGTAAGTAGACGACTGATGGCAGGCACGGCCTTGCGTGGAGGGAGTGAGTGGCAGGCACGGCCTTGCGTGGAGTGAGTGGCAGGCATGGCCATTGTATTGCATGGAGGGAGTGAGTGGCAGGCACGGCCTTGCGTGGAGTGAGTGGCAGGCATGGCCATTGTGTGGCATGGAGGGAGTGAGTGGCAGGCACAACCTTGTGTGGAGTGAGGGGCAGGCACGATGCATAGCATGGAGGGAGTGAGTGGCAGGCACGGCCTTGCGTGGAGTGAGTGGCAGGCACGGCCATTGTGTGGCGTGGAGTCTAACAAGGAAACCTGGCTCTCATATGGAGGGATTTTTTGGAATCTCATCTGTGTCCCTCATCCTTCATTGTCTCCTTTGGTCTAAAATATAATCCTCTAAATAAAATGTTCTGATCTCATAAAATGGGTGTTTATGAGTAAATATGGGTGCCCTTCCCATGTGTATAGAACGACTATACCCAGAAATCAGGCTTTGACATGTATTAGTGCATAATACACATATAATCATACACAGCGCTTTTTTTTATTTTATTTTTTACATGGTTGCACATTCACATCAGTCCCTGCCCCCAAGGAGCTTACACTCTCGGGTCCCCATCTCACATGCATACATAGAAGGCTGATTTAGAAAGGAGACATTAATCCTACCAGCATGTCTTTTGGAGTGTGATAGGAAAGCAGAGTACCTGGGGGAAACCCACGCAAGCATTAACATGCTGATCAGATTTGAATGTGACCTGGAGACTGTAGATTCTTTCATGCAGTTTTAATGAATCATCTTTAGAACAATTTGTTCTATTTTCATCCTACAAAGGAATTGTAATGTACCTACCTTGGTATAGCTAGCCTGGGTACACTGCCTCCAACAGGATTAGTATGGAGGCTGCCATTGCTCATCACCTTCTGTAAATACTAGTCTCCAGTACTTTGAGCCGCTATCCTGGAACTAGCATGTAGGTCCAAAAAGTCAGAACTGATGAATACTTGTTCTTGTTCAGTGACTTGGAAAGTGCTAAAGCTGTTGGATCGGCATGACCGCAAGGGAACAAGTGTTTTTAGGAGAAGGTTGGCAATGGTAGATTCCATATGTTCTCGTGATGGACTTTCTTCCAGCATCAGCCTATTGTCTTACATCCCAGCCATGAGATGGCCTGGAAAGAGTTGGGCAAAATATTTTACTTGGCAAATTGAACCCATTGTGTCACAATAGAGTGTAAACTTAAATTATAGATTGTCATTTCATTTACAGCTAAAACATGGCACGTACAAAGCAAACCGCCCGTAAATCAACTGGAGGAAAGGCTCCACGAAAGCAGCTGGCTACAAAAGCAGCCCGCAAAAGTGCGCCCTCTACAGGTGGTGTGAAGAAGCCCCATCGTTACAGGTAAAGGCTTTTCTAATTGTTTGTATGCATTGATTCTGTCATTGGAGTCTGTTTAAACAGCCCCGATGCTGGCGACGTACACTGTACGTCGTCAGTCACGAAGGGGTTAAAGTCTCTACCTTTGCAGTGGGGTTTCCCCTCCTGCACTGCAAGGGTTAACTGCTTAATGCTCTGAGACCTGTGTAAAGCAGATTTGCTTGCCTGATCGCTAACCTCTCCACCATATGCTCTGACTATCCCTTGGCATCTTCGCGTCTAATACAGGGCTATGGGCCCTGCATTAGACATGTCGTCAGCACCTGAGGGGGGTGGTCCTGGAGCTTTTGGCAGTTTGAATCCGGTAACAGTGCTTTACACAGGTCCTGGACCTTTGCTGTTGGGAGTGGCACTGAAATGTGCCTCCTATTGGTCTTTGTTTACTTCCTGTCTTGGAGCCATAATGGGAAGTGAGACAAAACTGCACAAAAGTGAAGTGAATTTCCCCTCCAAGATGGGATGTTACAATTCCTGTTGTCTCTATTGGAAGATTCCGCCTTCCCTGCCTGCTTGGTGACCTAAAATAGGAGATACCATTGCAGACTTTGAAGGTGCAGAAACTAGCTTGTCCTCGAGCGAGTCACTGGTATGTATGCAGCCAGTAAGTGTAAGAGAAAACCCCTGACCTGCATATTTGCTTTACTGTGACACAATAAGAGTTTTGTGTCTTCTGAGAAGCAAGTAAACAGTGACACTTAACACTAATATTGAGGTTTGCTTTAATAACCTCACCTGTCCCCTGGCTCATGTGAAGGAAATGCTCATCCTATTAGATGGGTTAAGCTAGCTGTCTGGATGTAATTGTAGTCCGCTCTCCATTGCTATACTGTAATTGAGATGTTGGAAGCTAATGTCTTTTTACTTGATTGTTTAAGGCCTGGAACTGTTGCCCTGCGTGAAATTCGCCGCTACCAGAAATCAACCGAGCTGCTGATCCGCAAGCTCCCGTTCCAGCGACTCGTGAGAGAGATTGCTCAGGATTTCAAGACTGATCTGAGGTTCCAGAGTGCTGCCATAGGGGCCCTGCAGGTAAACACCATTATACCTACACACTTATCTGTCGCTATAGATCTCCTATTGGAGGTCTTTCATCTTTTGCCATTTTTATCAGATTTATGAGGGTGGCAGATGTAGTAAAATCTAGACTGACACTTATGTAGGGCCTGAGCTTTTACCCAAATTAAAGGAGAACTATGAGGCGAGTGCTTTTCACTCACCTCATAGTTCTAGCCGACCTGTGACAATGAGACTGTCACAAAGTCGGCTCAGTAGATCGGGAGGTGAGCGAACACATACCAGGTTTGCTCACCTCTCGATCCTGTCACGGCTCTCTGCCGTGACAGGGGAGGGGCTGGATTTCCCCTCCCAGCTCCGATCCTCCAGCGCTGACTGGCCGGACGGGGGAGGGGGTGGGTACAGCTGGCTCTGCCTCCTAGATGGGCAGAGCCAGCCGGGGCGGATCCAGACATAATTGTCAGGATCCGCTTCAGCGTCTCAGTATACCGCAAGCAGCAGCTGAGCCTAGGGTGACGGGAGAACGCTAGATTAGGTCTGTGTATTTGTGGCTCAAGTGTGCTATTAGAAGTAACTTTGTAACAGGTGGTGAAGGAGTTTTTTTTGGAAGACAGTCTCTTCTGGTATATAAATGGCTGGCTAGTTTTTCTTAAGACTTAAAGCCCATTTCCACCTTTTGTGGTGGTATTTAAAAATAAAAATATGCCAGCATTGTACAGTGTACATGAAGCAGGCATATGTGGTTGCTGTATGTGAACAAACCACCCACCTTTTTATTAGTATTTATAGTGACCCACACACACCCATTAGTATTGATAGTGTACAGTGTTGTGTGCAAAGGCAGAGCTGGTGTTTAGTGATCTTGTTACTCAATCACAGGTAGGGGGCAGCTGCTTTCCAATCTGACTCTGGTGTCAGACCATTTCCTGTGGAGAAAACTTTGATTTTGTAGGATTCTGGTCTAATGAAAAGCTCATTAAAAAAAAAAAGCCAGCAATGCGAGTAATGAAAATGTGCACCCGTACATTATCACCACCTCTATTACCACAATAAATGCTAATCCCTTACAAAGGTGGAAATAGACTTTAAAGCTCCACATTCATGAGTCACTGATGTGAAACTAGTATACAGCAATTAGGTCAGAACTCTATTTGCATACTTCGTCATACTACAGGAAGTGTAGAAGCTTGCCAGTTGCATCAGTCTGGGTACCCAGGCTGCAAAATTTCCCTCTATACTATGTTCCCTGGGAGGAGAAACCAAGGTTTTGTTTTTTTTGGTGACCGTTTAAGAACCCTGAGCTGTCTGCATTTGGCTGCAACAGTTTTTATTGCCCTCTATTGTGCCACAACGGCAGGCTGGTCTGCATAGAAGAGGCTTCAGCACCTCTGGGTACTTGCCGGTTTTGCTTACGGCTTCCTTGATGGCCATTATGAGGTTGGGAGTGCAGAGGATTTCCTGTTTGGAATGGCCTGGCTCTTAATCATAGAGACTCCTGCAGTTATGTTCTAACTAATGCCAGTTCCTTTTACCGATCTACAAAAAATTCCCTGGTTTCCTTGATTGGGAAGCTTTGCACTGACCTGCATGCATGTGTTCACATGAATCATTTATCTGGGAAGTGATTGCTTACATCAGCTGCTTCATGCTTTGTTTTTGCAATGTGATCTACCTCCCTAATTCCCTGTCTTTGATCCTTGCAGGAAGCTAGCGAGGCCTATTTGGTTGGTCTGTTTGAAGATACTAATCTCTGTGCCATCCATGCCAAGCGTGTGACCATCATGCCCAAAGACATCCAGCTTGCCCGCAGGATACGAGGGGAGAGGGCATAGACGCACGTGGAAACTATTTTTTAGTAAACGCCGTATATATTACTTTGGTTTTATTTCGTGTTTATTTTATATAAATCTGTATTTTTATCTTACAACCATTCCATCTGTCAGGGTGAATGCTTATGATCAAGGCTGCCCTTTGTTGCCTGCAGAAAGCAGGGACTTCAATGTAGGACAGCAGGTGCTTTTTTGCTATTTGTATGATGTTCCAGGGTGCTTTGCAGCCAATGCAATAACTTGTTCTATGGATCACTTGGCTTGACTAGTCAGGGGGGCAATGCTGCCCTCTAGTTGGTTCTGTCTAACTGCACAAGCCAGACACATTCACCTTTTGTATTTCAGTTGTTACATGCTCATTTACAGAGTTGATCAGCAACTGTGTATAGGTTCATCAGATTATCATATGGAGATTGCTAGTCTGATACCACTGTGAATCTTGTCTGTTAGTCACTGTCCCATTGTAACTCATAGCTGTGTAGTTGAGTCAATGTTCTGGTGCTTAAGTGCAGATTGATGTGTTAACAAGGCAGCTAAACACATATGTGCATTTATCAAAGCTATTTTATATTGTAGTGTCACTATTTTAAATTAAATGTTTTCCAATTAGTCCTGTGTGCTCATTTTATTTAACACATCAATTTTGTATAAAAATATCTTTATTTACATAAGTGGATACAACATACATTGTGAGAATGTAAGGGTAAGCAATGGAGTGGTCTGTATTGACATTCACTGTCTTCGTTAGTACTTCCTGATTAAGTAGTGTTGGTTCAAATCACACAAACCATTCTGTATGCTTGAATCCTGCAGCTGTAATGGAAGCATACGTTTACAAAGTGAATATTGGCTTAAATACAATGTGCATTGGAAGGATAGTAAAGTTCCTGCCTAATTGTTCTAGTGCAGGGGTGCCCATTAGGTAGATCGTGATCTGCCAGCATCAGCTTTGAGAGCTACTGGTAGATCACGAAGGGTGTGAATGGCGGCCCCTTTATTCCATTTTGGTATATTTATTTAACTGTGTACACATGATTACCTATTAGCCTGAGTCTGCTGAGCCAAGCTCCCCGACACCTTTCTGGTAGATACTGGTGGTTGAAGTGCTATGTATTACATCAAAGAATATTAGTTTACACAGCCTGTTGCACTGCACTGTTTGCAAAATACAGCCGGGAGAGTGAGGGGAGAGACGGCCGGGAGAGTGAGGGGGGGGTTTCATTGGTAGATCTCGTGTAGCTTGTAATTTGAAAAGTAGACAACACAAAAATTGAATTGTCTGGGTGCATTCATGGTTGTTAACCTGCATTGTAAGAAAGCAGCCCATTCATTTTAATTGGCTCCCAACTCACCCCAGTGCAAGCAAAAAGGCACAAACACAGCTCATGGTAGTATGTTGCTGTAAGGTGTAGTGCAGCTGCATAGCCTTCAGCATATTGGGGTGCCAATAAAAATATTGGGCACCACACATGGGGGATTTTGAAAACTGCAGCAGCTGTGCATGGCAACCAATCCGCTTCTCTCCATTTCAGCTTTGAAAAAAAATTGATGCTGATTGGTTGCCATGCACAGCTGTTCCAGTTTTGATTCCCTTCATTGAATTGATTCCCTTCATTGAATATGTAGTACAGAACTACACATGATTGCTGAATACATGCATTTTAGTGGACACTTATACCCTACTATTGCAGTGTAGCAATAGATTATTGGTAAATGTTTGTTAGCAAGGATGAGCCGGTACCCCAAACATACACACTGACTTCTGACCTACTTCATTGTCTTGCCTTCACATAGTCCTAGTTCTGAAACCAAACCAATGCCAGCTTCATTAGACTTCAAACTAGCAGGGAAAAGGTGCACATGAGCAGATCCATATACAATGTCCACAGCACCATTTTAAGCTAAACCCTATGTTGTAGCTGTTATTCACCCTAGAAGTGGCACCGTCATTGAAAGGCTAATGTAGTCCATGTCTAAATTGAGTCGACCAGTTAAAAAAAATAAAAAATAACCTGACTGGAGACAAGTGCAACTGGCCACAATAGCAGCTGGGATTAGTGACGTTTGCTGGCATACTAAACTGATCCACTCTCCAACTGGATAAACGCTCAGGGGGATTTATCAAAACGTAAGCAGACAAAATTGAGCAGTTCACCAGGGCAACCAATCAGCTTCTCTTGTTCAGTTAAGCTTTGCATGTGAAACATAAGCTGATTGGTTGCCATGCACAGCTGCTCCAGATTTTGTCTGCTCCAGTTTTGATAAATTCCCCTCTGTCTTTTGGCTTTGGTACACTACTCCTGTCTAGGTAAAGCGCTATCTACAATTCCATCTGGATCTAGCCTCTTGCAATACTGGCAAATGTTGGAGTCCTTCAGGTGCTATTCCATTCATTCTGCTGTAATCATTCATGAGAACTTAATGCCAATGCTACAAGTGGCTTACATTTCCTAATCTCTGTAATGCTGCCTAGTGAACTGCACATTTTCTCATCTGTTGAGACTCCAAGTCATTCCTCTTCAGGTGATCTGCCACTTAGGAGGATTGGACACAGACTGCATGCCACTCAAGAATCCCTCCTACCAGCAGTCCTCAGTTTTTTTTGTTTGTGTCCTAGGAGAATGGAAATCTCTTCAGCTCTATTGTAAGTCCTCATTGAGACAAGTGAATAGGGTGGGTAGGTTGCGGTGTTGTGCTCTGGCCACAGCAGCAGTCTGCTAATGCTGTATACAAACTGGCCCATTAGTGGTGACTAAAAATACCAAACCTGGACAAACTCACAAAAAAAATCAAGGTCCAGCCATTGTGTTTGGGGACAGAATTGCTAGTCACCTGAAATGCAAAATACAAGTCTGGCTGAGCTGCTGCTATTTGCACACGGTGTACATGCAGCTGTCCACCGGCCACCCATATGAATGATGCCTAAAAGACTTTGCTTTTCTTGCTAGCACCTATTTCTTGTTCAATACAGACTCTGCTCAGGGTTTTGGGAGTAGCCGAGGGCTTGCCCTCCACCTGAGCCTTACTGCTATGCCACTATAAGTCTAATTCTAGACATGCTGTACCATGTACCCCCAGCTCCCACTCTTTAACATCTCCAGTGCTGCTTGCATCCTGGACTCACATTGCCCTCTCCAAGAGTCCGCCATCTTCAGAGTCCTAGGTTCAGTGGAGTGTGATGAGCTACTTTGAACAATTGTAACCGTGGAGGCCACAAGTGCATTCCCAAGCCCTCCCCTTTCTGTACCATCTGCATGTCGCCTTTAAGCCATCTGCTGCTGAGACTGAGTTGTTGCAGTCCTGATCAGGCAAGCATGCCTCCAAAGAACTGCTGTCTTTTAGAGCCCCCTAAGACCTTCTGATGCACCAAGTATTATTCTATGGACACTGGGAACACCCTCACTACCTACATGCTTCCCCAAACTGCTAATTAGTCTTGTACCAGTTTGGATACTTTCAAGTGTTTGACTGAGGAACCAATCTGATCCATGTAGCCTTTGAGGGATGATGCCTCTTCAGATCTACTCTGCCTACCATTATCAAGGACATTACGGGTGGCCAAAGCTCCTATCTGCTTCAGTGGAAGAAGCTGAAAAAGCAGACTAGAGTCTTCTCCCTCGCTCTCTGTTAAAAAGTGTCCTTTAGTGTCCATTTCTCACCTTCCATGGTCCTGAAGCTTGGTTCTCAGTCCGCCTACAAGAACTGGGGCTCAAAATCCACCAGATCCTCAGAAAAACCTTCCTTTGCAAGAGAGTGCACCTACACTTTCCAAAGTGGGAGCACATTTGTTAACCTGTGCAGACACTCTGCTTATATCTCAGGACACTTGGGTGTTGGCTGTGGCTTCTAAGGACTAAAAGCTGGAGTTTCACTCTCTACCCCTGTCCGGTCTTATGTCATGACCTTCCTGTGTCACTGCACAGATTAGCAGGTTTCATTGCCCCAGTTTCTTCTACTCCAACCAGTAAACCGTTCCCAAACCCAAAAGGTTGCATTTGCTCCAATCTTGGATTTAAAAGCACCGACTGTCTTCAAGCTCATTTGAAATTGCCTCCCTTTTACAGGGAGACCTTTTAGCTTTAGCTTGCGGATCTCAAGAAGGCCGGTCCCTATCTTTCCAGCACATAAGCATTTGCTGTGGGACCCCTAGACTACAGTTTGTGGCCGTACCTTTCAGGCTCTTTTCTGCATCTTGCGGGTTTGCCGCATTCAAGCTCTCCAGCCCTAGTCTTCTAATTACCTCCTTTTGCAGGAGAATCCGTGGTCTGGTTGTAGCCTCCTTGAGGCAGTCTTGTGCCAGACTTCTACAATGCAACAATCTGTAATGGTAAAACAGGTCAGGCTAGTCTGTTTGGGTGGCACTGGAATCAGGGAGGTTCTTCCTTTCCTTGGTAGATCCTCATCACTAATGCCAGCTTGTTGGGCTAGGGAGAATTTCTGGGCACTATCAGTGTAGGGCACATGGTCAGAGGAGTATTCTTCTGATCAACATCCTAGAACTTTGGCAGTGCTGAACTATCCTGCTGGAGGGTCATCTGACCCAGATTTAGTCAGATAACACAGCAGTGTCATACATCAATTATTAGGGAGGAACCAGAAGGCTCATCATGACATGCGGTAGATCAGATCCTGATGTGAGGATACTTCATGTTCCAACCTTGTCCGCCATTTACAGTGCTCAGCATGAGTACACCCCAACAGATGTCAGAAAACCTTTACTTTCCTTTCAGAATCCTGATTAGTTGTTGCAGCCCTAGTCGGCTCCATAGATCGGGAAGTGAGGGAACACATACCGTTGCTCGCTCACTTCTCAATCATCTCCGCGCAGAGAGCTGTGACTGTCACTCACAATTCCCTCCCCCCCCTCCACACTCTGATCCTCCAGTGTTGACTACTCCGTTCTGGACAGGGAGGGGGCGAGTACAGCTGGCTCTGGGTCTAGATAGGCAGAGCCAGCTGTCATTCACGCAGCTGGGTGGAACAGCATTATCAGGATCCGTCCCAGCTGCTGCGGTCTCAATATACTGCAAGCTGTATATACTGAGCTTGCGGTCACAGGAGGAGGTTAGTATATGTCCATCCATGACCCTTAAGAGAACTATGGGGGAAAACACTTACCCCAGAGTTCTCTCTTAACACCTCGACAGGAGCGTCTGCTGATGAGAAGGGTTGAAGAAAATCGTCATGCAAGTTCACTGCAGTTAGCTAAAGAAGTAGAAAGCCAAAACGGGGGTGATTGTTTCCCCGTGAAACAATACGGCGTACACCGCAGAGGAATGGCATGCATGAGTGTCGTCCACAAAGGAAGCCTCTCCTAAAGGCCCATGCTGAAAAAGAAGACTACTGGGTACAGTGGAGTGATGAGCCCAAGATCAATGTTTTTGGAACTGATGGCTTCTAAACTGTATGGCGTCGCAAAGGTGAGGAGTACAAAGAAAAATGCATGGTGCCTACAGTGAAACATTTTGGCGGCAGTGTCCTTCTGTGGGGCTGCATGAGTGCTGCTGGTGTCAGGGAGCTACATTTCAGTACTATAAAAGAGTCAGGTGTTTTACTCTCTCGTTTCAGAGACCATTGGTCTATCATTCCATGCAACTTCGTAAGATCTGAATCTGGTTTTCTCTGTGCTTCAGAAACTGCCATTTAAAGCTATGAGATACATTCCTTTCTCTATTCTCACCCACAAGGCGGTATTGCTTGTAGGCATCACCTCTGTGAGGAGAGTGCCTGGATTGATAGCCTTACTCAAGGAACCCTTTCTGGTTTTGCATATGGGCTAGGTTGTGTACAGGCCTAGGGCTTCTTGTTCGGTGCATGTTCCTCAAATTTCCACCCATTGTCTGCATGTCATTCAGACAGTAAGAGTCTATCAGCCATTGCTTCTTTCAGAAAGACTAATTCCATTTAAGTCCCTGTAATGTTGTTGGACAGACTATTATCCAAGCTTATGGGCTCACAGATTAGATTCCACCCTCTTAGGCGCACCCCACTGGATCTGCGAGTGCTTCTTGGGCTTTTGGCCTTAAGCAACTGTTTTCCAGATTTGCAAGGCTGCCAGTCCTCAGCTTTCTGTTACTTTCAGGGGCCTGTTAGCATTTATTTGCTACGTTTCCCACTCCTCAGACTGATTTTTAGAGACCCCAAAGGTGAATGACTTCCCTCAACTGACAATAAAGAAAATTAGGATTTTTGTACTCACTGTAAAATCCTTTCCTTAGAATCCACTGATGGGCATCTATTTTTTAAAGAAATTTATTTTAAATCCCCCCCCCCCTAAAAAAGGGGGAGATATCAATAGCCTATACTACACATTGCTCGAGGTTCATTTGTATCAATTTCTCTTCCCCCTCACCTCTGATTACACGAATAGCACCAACGGGTGGAAGTCATCATCCCAAGCCCAATCTCCTTTACAGCGTGTCGGTGACCATACCCACCAGTTCACTTTTTACTTTTTGGTTGTGGCGCGTCCTACACACACCCACACTTCTCTCTCCTACCCCTCCAGGCTTCAAGGGCCTGAAGGTTTTAGGTATCCATGATTTACTAACCAGCAACGTTACTGTCCTGAAACTGATGAGTCCTAGTGACGGAGGAGGTGGAGGAAGGAACCAAAGGATGGGCAAGGCTTTCAGAGGCTGCAGAGCTGGAACAGAGGGAAGGCAAGACATACAAAGGCCACCAGTGAAGCAGGCATAGCGTCTTTTATTGTTGTAACCCGATGGCTTTGACTCTAAACAGTATTTACAACTCAGCAGCATAATTACTCACCAATTCGCTTAATGACCTCTTCACACTCTATTTGGGTAGGTGTCTCAAACACAAAACAGTTAAAAGAGTTCATATCAACGGCACCTTCTTTTTCCCTATAACAAAGATAATGCAGTTTTATTACAAAAACTCAGGGCAGGTATACATATTACATTATGGGGGGAATTTTTCAAAACTGGAGCAGACAAAAATCAGCTCTGTGTGTGGCAACCGATCAGCTGCTCTCTTCAGTTTGTTCAGTTAAGATTTAAAAATGAAAGAAGCTGATTGGTTGTAATGCACAGCTGCTCCAGATTTTGTCTGCTCCAGTTTTGATAAATTCCCTTCTATGTGTTTACTATAGGTCTCTCCTTTTCTCATTGCTGACAACTCAGTCCATGAGGTACCATATGCATTGTAAGAGACATGTCAGACAAGAGATCCTGTAAGAAAGCACTTAACTCCTCCTATGGAATCAGAGACCAGCAAGAACCTTCTCTATTGTTGCACTCAATGACTGTTAGGGAAAATTTCCCTTTCACTTTGGTGATTCTGCTGCTAATGGCATCAGCTGTGGGGCCATGTCACATTAGGAATTTTTAGCCGCTGCAACTTATTTTCTCTGGTGACCTGTAGCTGGCCACAGATTAGCTTCTGTATCTCTGTACAGCTACAAGTCGCCAGTGTGCCATGATCACTAGCAGATGCATTGGATAACATGAGTAGCTCATGCTATTGGTCGCTTTGTAGCTAGCTTCAAATTCTACATTCAAAAGCTTCAATAACTCAGCGACTGGGATGTCAAGTCCCTGGAAATCGCTGGGCCTTGACATTAGTCGTCAGTAAAATAAAAGGCACTTTTACAGTCCTCTGCATCATTTAGAAGTTCAGATTAGGCACTGATCATCGTTATATTAGAGATCCGGTCTTAAAGTGTATTTCCACTTTTGCAGTCAAATTTGAGAAAACCCCTCTGTATTTTTTGTTATATGTTTTTATTCACACAGCATAGCCAAATGTTTTTAAACTAGTATCGGCATCGGTGCTGATACCGAGTATTTGGGCGAGTACCTGTACCTCGCCCAAATGCTCCGATGCCTAGCCCGATACTTCCGGTATTAGGAAGCCGGGCAGCGAGTCGTCACACGCTGCCCAGCTTCCTGATTGGTCAAAAGCTGGCCAATCAGGAAGCCAGGTGCCTTGTAATGGATAGGTGGATTAGCCCTCCGCACACCTTGCAGCAGACCAGGCCAATATAGAAGATGGTGCTCGCAGTGACAACCACGGATGGCGCCGTGTAGATACAGAGCAGAAACAGAAATCACCAGCACTCAGCAATATCATGAAACATTGTAATGACGCCGCGCCCGTCTTTCTGATTGGTCAGGAAGCCGGCTTCATGCTCCCTCGTCACCTCATGGCGAGCGAGCATGGAGCCGGCTTCCCGGCCAATCAGGAAGCCGGGCACCATGTCATTACACAGCGCCCGGCTTCCTGATTGGCCAGAAAGCTGGCTCCATGCTTTCTTGTCACCTAGTGACGAGAAGCATGGGGACGGCTTCCCTGCTAAATCGGGAAGCCGGGTGGCGAGTCCTTACATGCCGCCTGGATTCCTGAGAAGCATGGGGGCGGCTTCCCTGCTAAATCGGGAAGCCGGGTGGCGAGTCCTTACATGCCGCCTGGATTCTTGAATGGGACTTCCGGTGCTCGGTATCGGCGAGTACCGGAAACAAAAAAAGCGCTACTCGATACCGAAATACCGGTATGGGTGCATCCCTAAAATATTTCCTACCTTTTAGATGTTTTGTCGCAGCAGTCAACATGGCTGATTGCAGTTTTTCTGGGCACCTTCAAAGTGATCTATCCTTACAGAAAGACTCAGGGCTAAAATTTGAGGATTGTGTTTCTCTAATTAACATTTGAATGCAGAAGCCAGGGTAACCCAGGTGTGGGCAAACTCAGGCCCTCCAGCTGTGGTGGAACTACAAATCCCATGAGGCATTGTAAGACTCTTACAGCCACGGGCATGACTCCCAGAGACAGATGCATCATGGGATTTGTAGTGTCACCACAGCTGGAGGGCCAGAGATTGCCCACTCCTGCTTTAACCCTCACTCCCCACAGCTCCTTCTAACATTGCAAAGAAGGAGAAGCCAAGTAGAAATGTTACCCCTCAAGATGACAAGAAACCCTAACCAAAGTAACTGCTAAATACAGGTGAAACTCGAATAATTAGAATATCGTGCAAAAGTAATTGCTGCAAAAGGGGCCCAAACCAAGTACTGAGTACATATGCATGCTTGTACTTTTCAGAGGTCCGATATTGTTCTATGTACAATCCTTGTTTTATTGATTGCATGTAATAATCTACTTTTTTGAGGTTGTGGGTTTGGGGTTCTTGGGGTTTTCATGAGCTGTAAGCCATAATCATCACAATTATGACAAATCACGGCTTGAATTATCTTGCTTTGCATGTAATGAGTCTATCTCATATATTAGTTTCACCTTTTAAGTTGCATTAGTGAAATAAATGAACTTTGCACGATATTCTAATTATTCGAGTTTCACCTGTATTTGTTTTATTTATGCTATGTGAACAGGAACATGTGACAGATATAAAAAAGGCGTTATCCCAATTTGGCTGGGAAAATGGAAATACACTAAGTATGTACTAATACATCTCAACTATCATGCCACTTGTCTGAATCTGCTGTCTAGCTACAAGAAGCATATAATACAGAAAAGAAAGCTAGTTAGTCCATTTTCCAGGTTATAACTTTGAACCTGAGCTCTGGACACATTTCATCCAGCTATGTCTTTGTTTACATCAATAAATGTATTTTTAAAGCACAGCTTTGTCTTGCAGAGTAGGTCTTAGACTAGGAAAGGAAGGATCAGCACTCTAAGCTAAAGGGGGGGAGGGGGGGCTTGACCAGGTTGGACTTAACCACACTGGTGGTCATGGACCTGGCAATGCAGTCTGGCAAGGCAACCTAGATCACAACACTAGCTGAATAGGATTACAAATATTTGGGCGAGTAGTGTACTGCTTGAAGTTCAACTTTAGAAAGATGGAATGCAATCCTACAGATGTTCTATTTGACGGGGTACTTACACAGCACATAATGCAAACACTTTTTTGTTATCCACTCTGCGTCCCACACTGGAAATCTCTGGGTATAGATAGTGAAACAGGACCTGTAAAACATGTCTCGTTTTTAGATTTCCGAAAAAGGATTGCTTATAGGTTATAAGAACACACATATGCTATAAAAAAGGTATACAGAGTTTACAAAACAAGAACAAGACAAATCGTTTTGGAATCAATGCACACGTGTGTGTGTGTAATATATACACACACACACACACACACACTTGAGTTGCGCATCTTTATTTTGTCAAGTAATTGCCTTCTTCAATAAAATTAGCCCCTTTGTGTTTTCGAAGCTGAGACAGCAGAAGCAGTGTGCTTTCAGCCACTGTCTCTGATTGAATCTCCATATGGCACCACATGAAGGTAGGCAGAATAAAGGGGATGAGCAGCTGCTCTAACGTACTCAATTGTGCGAGTAAACTTTAATTCAAGCTGTTGAGCTCTCTAAGAAACTGGCTTTTTTCAACCTATAAGATATGGAAAACATGTGAAAAGGAGTCCAAAGCTCCACCTGCCGGCTGCATAGGAGAATACAAAATATTGATTTGCAATATTTCATACATAACTTTTCTCCAGTAAGGAAAAGTTATCAACTTTTATCTCTCAGTCCGGATCACAACTAAGAAAACGTGTACAAAACCACAGCAATTCTCTTTAATAGAGGAAGCTTTAAATGATTTTCACGCCTTCCGATTTTCTCTCGTCAGTTCACAAGACACACATTTCTGTTTTACCTTCGATGTCGCCTTGTCCTTTACTGCTAACTCCGTTTCCTTAATGTCCAATAAAACATCCTTATAAAAAAAAAAAAAAGGATTTAAAAATGTATGTTCTGACCCAGTAACCACATATTAAAAGGACTTATGTCAAAACCGTGTCAATCATACAAGGCTAAAGTAAACTACTACATCATCCATTGATGGACAGTACGTCATATTCATAAACCATGGGTTATACTGCTGCCTACAGGAGAATTAGACACTAGGTACAGTAACCAGAGGCCAGCCCCTAGGGGCCATGACCCATCCTTTGATTTGATTAGTGCTCTAATGCTCTAAGAATAAATGCCTTCCCCAGCTCTGTTGTTTTCAAGACTTTGTTTTTGGGGTCTGGTTGGCGTGTTATGGTTGGGTTGTGCCCACCCTTTGTTTTTGGGAACCTTCTATGGTTAAAGGACAATTATTGGCAGAGTAAAATGTACTCCTCTCCCAAAAGTTTGAGCCAACGTGGGACACTGCAGCTGTCACATGCCGCCTCTACAGCTCTAGAATTGAGCGATCACAAACCGCTGATCAATCCGCTCACTGTCACTGATCCCCACAGGGATTCCCCTCCTTTTTCTCCAGTGCTCATTGGAGGGACAGACAGGGGGAAGGGGCAGGCATAGCTGACTGACAGCTGGCTTTGCCTCTCTAGAGCCTATCAGGCAGCAGGGTGTATCCAGACAGTGCCAGGATCCTTCCTGGCAACAGCACAGCTCTGCCTTGTCAGCATATAGTGGCTTTAGTTCTCTTATTGAATAGGAATGGATGATCGTAGGGATGCACCGATACCGGTGTCGATACTGGGCATAGGGTGTATCCAGACAGTGCCAGGATCCTTCCTGGCAACAGCACAGCTCTGCCTTGTCAGCATATAGTGGCTTTAGTTCTCTTATTGAATAGGAATGGATGATCGATACTGGGCGCATTTGCAGGAGTACTCGTGAAAATGCCCCGATACTGACACTTCAAATTTTTAAACGCAAGCAGCTGCCCTAAGGTCCCGTGCTTGCTGGGGACCCCGCGGCGGTTGTGTACCACGGCGGTCTGGCTGCACATCTCCTCCTCCTTCCCGCCACCAGCACAGCCATGGTAACACCTGCACCCGCCCACGCAGCCCTGGTGAGACACCACCCATCCCCCTAAAACCCTGCACATCCTCCTGAGACCTTACTGCACACCCCTGGTGAAATGTGTATTTATTTCTTCTAGCTGACCTTTTTATTGCATAGGTTTCGAGAGCTCCAGTTAGCCTTCACCCTATTAACAGTATTCTGTTGCATCACTGTGGGATCTGACAGGGTTCGTGAGCCCTGGTATATGGCCTAATCTCCACTGAGATTCTGTCAGTGGATTTTTTGCCTTTTAATAAAGAAGACCTGTGCCAGTCTGTGCGCCTGTGTTATGTTACATTAGTTTCCCCAATAAGCTTGTTACAATTGAGCAGGCTAGTTATGGGAGGGGTTATAGATCCTAGGGGCTGACCTCCAGTTTTTGTGCCTAGTGGCATCCTCCTGTAGGCAGCAGTAAAACCCATGGTACTGAATTTGGAATGGACTCCAAGAAAGGGAGTACAAAAATCCAGTTATCAGAATGTTATCAGATATTTTATTATAAGTGAACACAGCACTTACCCTTGGTACAAAGTTCTGTTTTTGCACCTTCGTGATTCCAACATCCAGGACTTCTTTACCTCCAAACTGTTTTGATAAAAGCATGATCGTTAAATATAACAATAGCAACTGCTGGTGCACATTGGTAGAAAACTACAAATGCTAAATAGTACTTTTTACAGTAGGGATGCACCGATATATTGGCCGAAAATGGCACTTTTGGCCCATATAAAGTTCAGCTGTTCTGATTCTTCTGACATTTAGGGCCGATTCACACTAGATGCGTTGGAGCAATCTCTTCAATGCAAGATAAGGCAACCTGCCTTGCCACAGATTGGCACCATTCACACTACTGCATTGTGATGGGAATGCGATGGTGTGCCCGTAAAACTGAATGGGAAGGAAAAAAAACAAAAACAGTGTGCTATGCGTTTATCAGAGGTTCCAGGCTCCCTCCCCCTTTACTTGCACCTGATGTTTCTGCCAGAAAACACTTCCCCGTCTCTGGGAGACACTCATTTACAATACTGCATCTAGGACCAGAGGTGTATTAGGACTACAGAACACAATCCCCTCATCTTCATAACAGAGGGGATGTGTTCTGTAGTCCTCAGAGATATCAGTTTGCATTGTTCAAAGCTAACAGTTGGCAGAGAGTACAGAAAGCCAGGGCTGCAGCTAACGATTATTTTCAATTTATTAGATTAAATCGGAAGTAAAAAAACAAACAAAAAACAAACATTTATTTAAAATAGAATACACAAAACAGACAGTTTACTTCAGAATAAAACGGTATACACATTTTTTTTTAAATCGCACTGCAGTACCACCCGTTCCAGTGAGGGTGATCACACTACGGGTGGGAGGTGTATTTGGGATCTATTGAAATGAACGGCACCGCCACGCACCTCCTGCAGCAATTTCACAGGGTCCCTGGTTGCTAGGGTGCCGTCAGTCACACAGCACCATAAAACCAATGATGCTGTGCCAACAGTGTCATAGCAACCACTGAAGCTGTGTGGCCCAGGGGCTAAACAAGCACAGAGAATGCATTGTCCTCTATATTGACATTCCGGCCTCAGTTGCACCCCCAACTATGCCTCCGTGTCACACATTCATGTACCGGTTTCCAACAGATACATATTTGTTGCAGGCGCCAACATTTGTCAGGGAACGACACGGTTCTAAATAATGTTTGCAAAACTCTTTCTGAATTCCAGGGAGAGAGTACCAAACATACAATCTCTTAATACTTACCATTCCAACAGTAGCTTGTCCTAGATACTTGACAAAATACAGAAGTCTGTGGAGGAAAAGCAAAATAAAAGTATTAAAAGCCGGCATACGGCGATATCACCATCCGCCACCAATTAATCACCTGCCATCCTGCTGCGGACGATCTTGGTCGCTCTCCTGGTTTCTGGGCGTCTGCTGGAGTTGAAAGTTTGGGACCCGCTCCTGAACACCTCTTAGGTAAGGCATTAGGGGACGGAACACTTCCCCATCTTTCCAGCGCCAGCGGATTATCCGGAACACTAGAGGCTCCCCCTTCAATTTACCTAGTTCTGTGCCAGCCTGTACAATTATTCAACAGTCATTTTTTAGTGCATCTCCCATAAATAACATGAAGCTCATACAACAGTCTGTCTTCTATACAGTCTATAGCACAGTATATGAGGTGTGTGTGCACCATTCCAAACTACACATATGTCAATGTATAAATTCAGCAGAATGTTAGACTTACATGTTAAAGGACAGCTGTCATGAGAGAAATGTGTGAGCGGTCATTGTTGACCATCTGAAAATGTTAGCTGCCTGGCTGTCTCTGGCCTCAGGGTAGGTTCACACCATTTCCCGGATCAGATCTGGTCCTGAAAATAATGTGAACCTGCCCACAGTTCAAGTGCATTCCAGACCAGAGAAAATGAGACATGCATGGATGTGGTGTGAATGGGCCCTGAATCCTTTAGGACCATGGCCTGAAACATGTGAAGTGTGAAGTCAGAGGAAAAGGCACACTACGGATCTGCATACTTGTTCAGGGTCAATGACTCGAAGCATTAGGCAGGTTTCCTTTAAAGTCTGCCTCCAGCCAAAACTGGTGTGCTGTAACACATCACATCACGCTGCAATGCATAGTAATAGAATACAAGTCCAAAAAGGGGAGGGGTTTAAATAAATAAAAAAGGAGGAAGAGACACGCTGCAGTGCAATTTAAACACACATAACAGCATGTGCCAGTTATGCCAATGCTAATCCATACGTTGTGAAGAAACCCTTACAGTAGTAGTTACCCTTTAAAGCCTACCTGTTCAAGAACTGCACCTAGTTTGACACACACACACCAATCCTTGTACAAATCGCCTTTAGATTTTAAAAAAACCTTGTCATAGCACCGATTTCTAATGTCTTTCTATTGTGCATCACTGTTTGTATAACAGAGGACTCTTCCAGGAAATGCTTTGTAACTGTCCAGTGTGTTTGATGTTTTATATACTTCACCAGTGAAATACCTGAATTTGGCTTAGTATCAGCTTCTTCCAATTTCCTGTACATGGACTCTTACTGAGAGAAAAATGTGCACGATTAATATGCATTCAGGTATACTGCATACAAATGTGCTGACAAAGAACATAAGGAGGAGAGAGAGGGGACACCACTGTATTCCATAACTGTAAGTGAGGTCATCCACCTGGCTATGCTGTGTAAATCTTAGAACTGGATGGACAGATGTACAATCCCTTTGACAAATAGAACAGCATCAGGTATTTAGTAGTTTACCAGGTCAAATATAAAGCTAAACTCCAGGTGAACAGTTGAAAGATCTCCCTCAAAATCATTAAAATTAAATACTTACATGCAGCATCCCCCAGACTTTTTTTTTCCTCTTATCTCTATAGGTTGAACTCGATGGACTCGTGTCCTTTTTCAACCTAACTATGTAACTATATGTAAAAAAAATGTATGTAGTGGAAGGTGCTGCCTGATTGGCTAGATCAGGTAGGTCCTCATATTACATAGTTTTATTAGGACTAAAGTTGATTGGACAGAGATTGCATGGTCAGATTGTAATGTGTATGGCGAGCCTTAGCCCCATGTCTTTAACCGTCTACCCGTCTCCACAACAAAGACTTTTAGTACTCATGTTTAAAACTATTGTTACCAATCAGATTTCACCTGTCAATTTCTAGTTGATGTGGACTACATAACAGTAGATCATACTGATGGTGGCCATTGTACCTTGTATAGCAAGAACCAAACGTCTAGCATAAGGGTTGTCAGTATTACCGTCTCAAAAAGAGACTGCTTATGATGCCCACATTGCATTAAATCAGACCAATCCCATAATCCTCACCTGTCCGTTATATGCATGGCGTAGTGATACTCCATTAATTTCATCAATAAGGTCTCCTGCAAGAACGATTTCATCTACTTCAGTCTGGCTGTCTGGCAGTATTTCTACCACGAACACCCGACCCTCCACGTACCTGAACAATACAAGAGAAGAGGTGGAAAAACTGCAATGACACCACAGTGCTCATAGGTCATTAAAGGGGACATGGAGGTGAAATTCCTAAACTCGTCTTCTGAAAATACCAGTTGCCTGGCTTTCATGATGATCCGGAAATCTATCCAAAATGTACATTTCAGATTTAGGATGACATCAACTGGCGTATACATTGGGGACAGTGTTTTTGCTGAGGAAGGGGCCACCTGGTCCCGAAACGTTGCTTAGGAGATGTGTATCATATAAACATTATTGACTTTATTACTTTTGGAGTGCGTGTGACTAATTCTATTTATCCATTGGGGACATGGTTAGTGAAAACTCATCTCCAGTCCCCTCTCACACAAAGCCAAAAAAAGGGGGATCTATAATTATATTATAGATAATTATAGATTATAGTTACAAATTAAAATTGGTTTATAAAATGAAAAAAACGTATATGTGGCTATTGGTGCCATAAAGCCAACACAGTTCAACACTGCACATGTTGGCTCCATGCCCTCCTGAAAAGGTGAGGGAGGCAACATCTAGAAGTGGGTAGGTTTGGACTTTTAGGATGAATTAACGAGGATTGCAATACCCATGCATTTAGCTGTAGGGGAAATTTAAAGTGACCCTAAACTCAGGAGTTAAATCTTAAAAAAATATATTTAAGTACCTTAACAATTAACAAAGATGTAACTTATTTATGCATCATTTAGTTGCCATCTACAATTACTACAATCTCAATACAAATTAACGAAACATGAGATTGTGGTCTATCACAGGAGTGAGCTTGGAGCAATGGCTACTTTACAACACACACGGGGACCATGGGGAACAAAAGTAGCCACCCTCCAGAAGGAAGGACAGTGTCAGCACCAATTCAGAGATGATTTGAGGATCTACAGATGAGTGATACACAAATCAGATACATTTTTATTAATAGTTAAGGTACTTAAATGTATTTTTAAGATTTAACTCCTGATATTAGTGCCACTTTAACACTTCGCAAAATAGATATTTTTAAAATGGGGACCATTGTTGCCACGGCTCTTTTTTTATTACAGAGACCAAGGTAGCCAGTATCCTGCTCCCAGTTTGTGCCCCTCTATGGTCCCCACCCAGGGGCACTGGATTGCTTTTACCTGGCTTGGTCTATGTCTCTTACATGAACAATGTGTTCATGTTAAAAAAAAAATAATATTCTGCTGTTGATAAAGTAAAAAAAAAAAAAATTCTAATTAGATCTATGTATTACGAAATCAATTGTGTAATCATTACAGCGAAACTCCCTCCTGAAGAAGCACTTTGTGAAATGCATTGATAATTTAAACCCGATTGATTATGATTTTGTGAACATTGAAATACTTGTGACACTGTGGATCACGGTTGTGACATTTATATGTAATGAGCTTTTCAAAATTTATATTATACAGGTTGTTTGCAACAGTTGAACGAATTGACATTTTAAAAATTGAATAACTATTATTATATGATGCTGTATTGATCATCATAGATACCAACAATAGCCTCACTTAACCTGCATCAAGGGCTTTGTCAAACAACATTTGTACCTTTATTATTATGGGTATGGTAACCTTGCCCTTACACCTGACCCAAGCATAAATAATCATCACCACTGGCTTAGAGTGGATAAGTTCATCTTTTGCAAAAATTAAAGAAATGCTTAATTAATAATATATATACAAAATATGCATTTCTTTAATATTTGCATGCAAGCCTGGGAAGCACTGCAATCATGATCACTCCATCACAGCAGCAAATCTCAGACCTCTGCACATTTTCAAACGGTCAAAGCTCATACGGAGGTACGGAGTTTTAGTAAGGCCCCATTTCACACCTAGGCGTATTGTAAGAAAAACAAGAAATACATCCAAAATCCAGCTACCCCTCTATATTAGTAGCCCAGTCATGCGTGCTGTCCAGCCACCGCTGTACCGCTATACCCACTATGTCGAAGTCCTCTTCAATTAGCCTAATTCCAAGCTCCTCTATTTTATTTGCCAGACTTCTAGCGTTGGTGTACATACATTTAATCCCTCTCTTTTTGTGGGACAAAAGTTACTACCTTGTTGTTCCCCACTATTTTTATTATTATTCTGCCTTGATTTTGGTAGTCCGTTGGTAGTTATACACCTTTTATTAAATTTTGTTTTCTCTTTTTGAGAAAGGTTAAGGTGTTACATAAATGAGTAAAAGCAGACCATTGTAAGCACCCCTGTCAGTGTTAAATAGTTTGCCTCAATCCTCTATCTGCCACTTTTGTTGGACAGTTTAGTCTGTTAAAAGGAAGTTGTAATATATCAGGCTTACTTAAACAGGTGAAAATAAAAAAGGCCAAAAAAGAAAAAAAACTTATGCAGCCACCACATCTAAGAACTGATAAGCTGCAAAATAAAATTTTTTGCTTTTGGGTTTAGATATGCTTTTTTTTTTTTTTCCCTCAGCAACTTTTGACACAGGTTCACTTAATAAATAATGTATTCAGTAAACTGGATAAATGTTTTTATCAGTTTTCTAATTGAGGAAGACAAATAAGCCAGAAAGGTGTGTCCAATATACTTAAGTTCTAAACCTTCCCAAAGCAATTAAAAACCACAAACACAAAATTGTTGGATATTAAAGTTGTGTCTTGGTTTTATTCCTCAAACATAATTTTACTGGTAAAGATTCAATTGTTTTCTCAAGAACTCAAACTGATCTTTATATAGTCAGCGCCATTTATAAAAGAACCCAGACAAAGAAGTGCAGCTTTGGAGGAGGAAGGTGCCGTCACCCAGGCAGAACAAGTAAAACCAGTTAGAGGCAATTCTGTATTATATCTTATGAGCAGGAGTGATGATTTACACAGTGCCAAAACCGGGCAACACCCTATAAAACAACACAGCAAGTGGCTGAAATGTAGGTCAACGGCCATATACGAGACAGGATATTCACACGGCATCTTAAGCACCTCCCACTCAGGTTTTTAATGCAGCTTTTCCTAAAGTGATTATTAACAACCACTTCCAAAACCATCCACAACTCTGAGACGAGGTTGGAAATCTAGCCAGGGGCAAAGTATCGCCCTTACCGTCCCCTCTGCTCCTCCCAAGACCTCCTGTTCTCCAACTCCCTCGTCAACTCCTCCCATGCTCCCCTCCAGGACTTCTCTAGAGCCGCTCCCATTCTCTGGAACACCCTTCCACAACCTATTTGGCCATCTCCAACTCTTAGTTTAGGCGAGCCCTGAAAACTCACCTCCTTAGGGAAGCCCATCCCTCCTCGACCTAACCGCTAGGCTATTACTTTCTCAAACAACTCATTCCCAAACAGCTACCACCTGTTGCATAATTTACCCCTCCCTTTTAGATTGTAAGCTCTCACGGGCAGGCCCCTCCTAACCATCTTGAATTGTATTGCATCTGTAATGTCTTCCTTATATTGTAAACCTCTGTGCAAACTGTTGGCACTATATAAATCCTGAATAATGATAACATCAATAATAAAAAATAAATAAATAATATTATCAATAATAATAATAATAAAGTGAACCTGCTCAGTTAGAAGTATGGGTTCTGCCATTGCTTCATTATCTTTTTTTATGACAGTCTCCTGGTCTGTCATTTTGATCCTGGCTTCACTTCCTAGCGAGTCATGGACCTCGACAAAGCATGCAGTAAGTGAAATCTGAAATCTTCCTGCATACAAATACTATGTAACAGTTGCGTGGTGTTAGCGCTTCTGCCTTGTAGCACTGGGGTGACTGGTTTGAATTTGGCCAGGTCACTTATCAGCAAGGTGTTTGCATGTTCTCCCTATGCTTGCGTGGTTTCCTCCCACACTCCAAAGACATGCTGGAAGGTTAATTGGCTCCGGTCTAAATTGTCCCTGTATGTATGCCTGCACGTGAGATAGGGACCTTAGTTTGTAAGCTTCTTGAGGGTAGGGACTGATGTGAATGTGCACTGTGTAAAGCGCTGCGTAAAATTGTCAACGCTATATATATATAATACTATTTATTAAGTCAGTGACCCACCAGATGGTAATGACAATGACAACTCCAGTGGCGAGACCTTTATCAATCAGCACTGGCTTCCCCCATAGTCTGTCCTGACAGGTCCCCTTTAAATATGCTTTTTTGCCCCTTATTGTAAATAAAACCCAAGGAGCCACAGAATGATTGTTGGGGTTATATCACACGTGCTGTAAAGCGATCTGTATTTATAATTCACCTTAATACCATCCCCAGCTCTCGACATGGCACAGTCTGATAAATAGCACACACCTAGAAGACACAAGAGAAAGGTGTTTTATCCTGAATATCTGCTTAATTCCTTTACACTACCAGCACAGTTTAATCATTCAAAAAAATGGATTACAGTAAAAATGTGAGGGGAAAAAAATAAAATATGCATTGAATGAAAATTTATTTATACCTAAAAACAAAAATATTATATATTGCAGTATAGAAGTGGTGGCTGCATTAGTTTTCTGTTTTCAAGCTTTCTCTCCAATATTTTCACCTAGGGGTCATGTCCGTAACACATTTCCTCAGGATGATTGACCATTGTCTCAGAATGACAATGTTCACTTGCTGCACTTTATCTATAGAGGAGCAGCGCACTCTAGGATAAGAAGTGCATTAGAAGTACAGAACACCTCACAATAACATGGGATGTATTCTGTAGTCAACAGAGGTGAACTGAGCAGGGTTGATCACACGGCTTGAGATACCAGAGCAGAGTAGATAGGACAGTACAAGATTTGTGACCGGAATGACAGGGATTTGCTGTGTATGGAATATCTTTCTATCCATTCTTCCATATGATTTTAATGGTATGTTTAACAGATCAAAAGCAAAGGAAGCAAATAAGAAGCTCATTGTTGGGGTCAGAGTAAACTAAAACCATGTACCTATGAATTGTGTGAAGATACAACAGACTGAGGGTTGTGTTACCTTTTTTTTAAGCCAATCATGTAAACAAAGTGTTTCTAAACCCAAGAAAAAAATAATGTTGCAGTTAATCAGTCCTTCCATATGGTGGCTGCATTAGTTTTCCTTAAACCCCCCCCCTTGCTTTATTTTCACCTGCTGATCCTGCTAGCAACACTTCCTGTCCTAGAGTGACTACACTCATTTACTATACTATATCTACGGAGAAACAGCATGGCCACCCTTAGGACTGCAAAAGGCTGCCCTCTCCAAAACATAAGGGAGAAGTGTTCTGTAGTCCAGAGAGAACGGTTAATATTCAATAGAAACCGAGAGCACAGGAAGGTAAAAAGATTACTGCATTTCTGACAGCATCAGATTTTGAAAATGTTCTTTTTAATTTTCACATAAACTTTAATTGGGGTCCTCTGGGTGTTCTCCTTCCTTCCTTCTTTCCTTCCAAAGGCAGGTTAGTTTGGTCCCATGCAAGCTGGCCCCTGTGCACATTAGTATATGTCTGCATGACATTGGGGAAGCTGTAAGCTCCACTGAGGCCAGGTTCACACCATTTTCACATAGATCCGCACCAGATTTTGCCGCGTTCAGGAGCATTTTCTTTTTTCCGCTTAAAATGGGGATTTAGATGGGTTCCAGTGCGCTTGTTTGTGTTTTTGATGCATTTCCATATGTTCCAGTCCAGAGAAAATGAGACAAGCAGTATTTTTTTTTAATCTAGACCGGAACAGACTGTGGTGTGAACAGAGCCCAGAAATACCATAGGGATACATTAGGATTCTTTTTTGGTCCGGGAACACACTGTTCTAGTCTGGACATGATCCGGACATGGTGTGAACAAGCCCTCAAAGTAGACTCTCAGCTCAATGGTCTATGTAATCTATAGCATTTGATAATTTCCTGCTCTATATAAATGAAAATAAACTGGTACGTAATGACTAGGACAGACTCCTGGTAATGACCTCCCAAACTAACATTGTGTTGGTCGCCACTGACCCGAAGAATAAAATACATAAAATGTCAGCCATTTTGAATGTAACAGTGTGAAACAGTGACAATGGAAAAAGGATTACAATGGGGCTGATTTATAAAGCAGTGGTACGGCCTTATCACAGCTATTCTGCCACTTTAAAATAAGAACAAAACATTAATAAAGCACAGTGGTGCATTTTACAAGTGTGTTTGTTACGTCCCACTCATGTCAATGAATTGGGGAACAAGGAGAAAGTGAAGATGGGTGTACACGGTGCACTTTAAAAAGGCCCCAAGGCATTAGGAGGCTGGCAGCAATCCTTGCTCCATCTTCACCTCTAATGTTAAAATTACTTGCAACAGTAACAGAACACTATTTTGTGCACCTAATGTCTAGTAAATTAAAGTGGAACTCTAGAAAGAAATACACAGTTTAAATTGGAAAAAAAGTGTGTATACAATTTTCTGTGTACTTGGACTGCACATGTGCTGTGTGTGTGTGTGTGTGTGTGCGCGTATATATATATATATACACACACACACACACACACACTGTTTCCCAAAAAATTGGACCTAACCCGAAAATAAGACCTAGTACTATTTTTGGGAATTGCTAAAATATAAGACCTACCCTGAAAATAAGACCTAGTTGTGACCATTCCCAGGGCCGGTGGTGGCATAAGGGGAAATGAAGCCAGCGCTAGAGGAAGCGAGGCGGCAGCGGAGGGAGCAGAGCTGCATAAGTCGATGCCTCCTCTATAGCGCGGGCTTCTGTCACAGGCGGAGTGATACCAAGTGCGCTCCGCCTTTGAGGAATTGATAGTGAAAGTGCTCATTCTGGCCAGCGATTAGTTAGCAAAATGGTCTTGTAAAGGTACAGCACCCCTGATCACCATATTTTTGTACATGAATACATGTAAACTGTTGTACATGAATAAGTGTAGATTGTTGTACATAAAAAAAAAAAAAAAAAAAAAACCTACACCGAAAAAAAGACCTAGGGGGTTTTTTCCCCCCCCCCAAATCCTTCTTCTTCTGCAATTTTTTAATTTTCTGTGTACTTGTACGGCACATGTGCTATGCAGTGTGCAAATTCAACCCATTCACAGCATCTTTGGGCTGGGTCCTGGGAAGGATGAAAAAGCTGTGTGCATGCGCAGGAGTTGCATCATCACTGGCCACCCAATAGCTGAAGGGGACTTCTGAGAACCATAAATGTCGACGATGGAGATGGGAACAGAGCTGAAAACTAGAACAATCTGACAGTGCTGGAGAAGGGCGCACTTGTAAGGCAAGTGTATCCTAATATGCCAGTATGCTGTCACCTGACTTGAATCCCATAGAAAATCTTCGGTGGGATTTGAAGAAGTCGGTTGCAGCACACAAACCCAATATTAGTGAACCGGAGGCCATTGCTCATGAGGAATAGGCTAAGAGTCCTCAGGAATGCTGCCAGAAGCTGCTTTCTGGCTAGGCATCTTGTTTGCAGCAGGTCATAACAGCAAAAGGATGCTCTACTAAGAACTAAAGATGCCTGCCATGACAGGGATGAATTATTTTGAGACTGCAGAATCAGTTGAATTTGGGGAAACCACTCAAAACATTCGCTGTGTTGACCTTTTCCAATTACTTTACTTTGATTTGTTAATTGCAAGCAGCTGAAAGTTTGTAAATGTTGCCAATAAACCTGATTTGCAATGGGGGTTGAATCATTTTGATTCCAACTATAGCTGGAAATTAAAATGAGCTTCCTGCTTGGATCATGTAGGTGTGTCTGGTTATTCTGCAATTTCGGTAACACCAAGAGTACTCACCCAAATGCTCCGATACTTACCCTCGATACCGAACTTCCAGTCAGAGGGATACTTCCTCTGACCGGCAGTGTTGCAAGGGAACATGACTCGCTGCTCGGCTTCCTTGTTGGCCGGGAAGCAGGCTCCATGCTGATTGGCCGGGAAGCCGGCTTCTAGGCCGATCAGCATCGAGCTGGCCAAAGAGCATGGAGCCAGCTTGTCGGGCAATCAAGATTGGCTGGTTACCGAAAGATAAATATCGATACTCGTACTTAATACCAAAAAACAGTTATCGATGCATCCCTACTAAAACACTTACTCCTCCAGCCTTCAGTGCCTGAAACATGTTTAGACAAAAGTCAATCAATGCCTTGATTGACTTACAGTGCAGCCACTTCCACCCTAAGCTTGGTGTTTGGTTTGTAGAAACTTGTAATGATCTATTTTAGGTGTTTATCCCGGCATTAAATTAAGTAAATCTAATAGGTTTATTATATACATAACGAGAGTAAAAGGGTGTCCGCCCCCCCCCATTTTACTGATGTGACATTTCACTTTAATATGCTTAGAGAAACGTAAAAACTTCACATCTTATTTCTATACCAGTATTTTCAGTATGAATTTTTGGCAGACAAACAAAGTCAGCATGTGAGACGACATTTCACATAAATCAGCAATAGAGAGGAAGATGGTGATTACCGGTAGAAGCCAGCTCTCATCAAGGAAGCTTGAATTCTGCAGAAAGAGAACACCGGAGTTACAAATGTGCCTATAATTACTAAAAGAGAACCAGCAAGTACAAGTCTATCTTCTTCTTGTCTCATTAATAATCCAATATGCTGTCCAAACAAATCTTTAAGTAGAATATAGTAATGCTGATGTTTCTGGCAGTCCTTCACAACATTATATAACTGAGAACAGCAACTCTGACTCTGAACCTGGGGGTGGGCAACTCCGGCCCTCCAGCTGTGCTTTAACTACAGATCCCAACATACCTCTGGGACTCATGTCTGTAACTATCACTCTTGAAATGAGTCATGGGACTTGTAGTTCCACAACAGCTGGAGGGCCAGATTTGCCCATCCCTGATCTAAGCCTTCAAAAGGACAGAACATTTTCAAACAAAGGAATTTACCCTGTCGGAAAACACAGATGACAATAAAACTGGAGATATGATCTAACCCTTCTTCACGGTCCTCTAAACCTAAAGTGAATCTGTGCTTCCACCATGCAGGGTAAAAATCAACAGGTTCCCTTTAATCCTCCTCTTCCCGACAGCACATACTAACCCCTACTTCACTCCCCCATAGCTGAAAGGAGCAATCAGGAGCAGGACAAGTTACCCAGTGCGAGATAAGAGCCACTCAAGTTCCAGTTTACATGGGGCAATGGACTCCCCCATGTGACAATGCTGGTGCGTCATAAATCAGCCCAGTGGTATCACATGCTCCTCCATACCTGAACGCACCAGGTATTTCTGGAGCGACGATGGAGTAAAGGAAAGGCATTTGCTGCAGGAGACTAAAACAAACCTTATGCTTTCCTCTGCATGGAGAAAACCACCAGTAGGCTTTAAAGCAGAAATCCGGGAGGAAAAAATTTTCTTAAGCCTTGCAGTGGGGCCATGTCCGCACTGCAAGGGTTAAGTGCTTGTTTTTGTCTAGGTTCAAAAATAGCAAAGTTATACTCATATCCTCTGAGCCAGCTTGCTCTTAGACCAGTCCCTCCGCTGCAGCAATGGTATGACCCTCTGCGTCCTCACATCCTATACACCATGTATAGAACGTGATGACTATGGGACCCCAGACCGCTGCAGCAGAGGGGAACCGAGGTGGAAGGGATCGGTCTAAGAGCAAGCTGGCTGGAGAATCAGGCGAGTATAACTTTAGTTTTTGAACCTAGACAAAAACCAAGCACTTATCCCTTGCAGTGCAGGGGTAGCCCCACTGCAAGGGTTAAAAATAATTTTCAGCAGAGTTCTGCTATGGAAACTTTTTTAAACTTATTTTTTAAACCTATTTAATACCAATGAAACATACAAAATGGCCACTGCCCACTGCTGAAAACTGTCAATGCATGGAGCTGTGAGGGATTTAAACTTACCAGAAGATCTAGAGCAAAATTGCTTTGAGACACAACCAGGAGCAAAGACAGGAAGGGTTCTGTAAGACAAAATTAGGTAAGACCTCAATTATTTTAGTTTGGGGAATTGTGTGGGTCGTTTGTAATGCGTGTAGTAACTGAGATAAGAACGCCGCCTCGAGGCCGCATATTGGTGTCGGTGGCTCACGTGGGCGCTATAACGGCATCAAGCGCGGCGGCGTGATTCTGACGTCACCGCGCTATTCGTGGGGCCCCAGCCAATCCTGTTGGACAATTACACTCGTCCCACAGGTTGGAAATAGCTATAGTGTATATCTCTTATTCTATTGACAGCTGAGTGGGAAGGGAAACTACATTTCCCACACAAATCGCAAAGGTCAGCAGTAATTGAAGGAATAGACGCTGAAAGCGGAATAAGAAACAATAAAAGTAAAAAACTAGACAATAGCTGCAGTTAAGGCATATGGACTCCCAACATAATGATGCCGGCCATCCCAAATGCAGGGGGAAAGAGAAGAGAAGGGAAACAAGGGACAAAAAAGGGAGGGGGGAACAGGGAAAGGGAGTAGGGAGACGCCCGACAGATCGTGAGGGAACACCGCATAGAAGGACTCCAATTTTTCCACTAAAGTATTTGTAAGCAGAGACTGTCAAAAATTCATAAAACACTTGTCAATGTATAAAGCAATAAACTTCAATCATATAAATTGTCTGTTGCATATATGTACATGGGCACATAGACATGTACCCCATTTTATACAGATGTATAGGTAAGTATAGTTCATTGGTTCTATGGCATTTTTTCAATTCTAGGGATGTGATCTCTCCAGAATACATTGATTGTATATCACATGGTTCATATGTTTATATCCTTGTAGTTATATTCGCGTATATTTACACATAATCGGTCATTATAATGGGCCTAGGGGAAAACATTTCCCACACTTCTATTTTCGTGTATTCAGTTAATGGTAGTTCCTGGTGGGCATTTTTAATTATTAACGGGTGGGAGTGATGTCTCCTCTTTCTGTCCTTTATGAAAAGCATGACCCATGTACCTCGGTGATCGGATGTTGTGTCCCTCCTCCCTTTGTCCATCTCTTGTAGACCCTTACTGCGCCGACTGCCTTCTGCCCCCTGCTCGAAATCGGGGTCACTTGACTCTCACCCCTCATTTAAATATATTTTTTATATATTTTTCTTGTTTGGAGTTGTCATTCATCCGGTGCCTTTAAAACCCCACTTTCTCTTTAAAGAACTCTTTGTGTATACCATTATTAGGGGTGTGGCACCCAATATCCAGGTCAAAAAAACTTCTCTATTCAATAGTAACTGAGAGTATTGAACACACGCTGACTAGCAAATTAGAGATAAGTACTGCATTATTATTTTTTATTATGAAGGCTCACTGGAAAAAATAGGTTACGTTACCTAAATGTTCCTCATTTCCAAGCACAGAGAACAGCGGGTCATACCACTGAAAGAAAGGAATACATTAGCACAGAAGGAAAGGGGCACTGTCTGCTTGTTCAGTGATACACAATTCAAAGTAACTGAGAGCCACGCATCAAAATCAAAGCTGAACTCCTGGCAAGGATATAATATATTGCAGATATACATACATACAGTACATACATGTTATGGTCCAAACAACCCTACCAGATAGCACAGTCAGATCCTTCACCCCCATTGTAGCAGCAGCACAGTTTAATCAAAACTACCAAGTCACAGGCCTAGCCTGCTGACTGGACAATTAAGTGACAGCAGCAAACTGATGGTGTTTCTGCTTCTGTCAGTATGAGCGCTGTTGCCACATGTGCACTACATGAACCTAATTGGCTCATGTAGATGCCCCTCCCTCTCCCAGTGCATGTGCTGCTTTGCAGGGAATTACAGCGAGGCCGACATGAAGACAATTTCAGGTAATCGCACCAGTTATATTTAAAACATATTTCCGAATGTTTGATATACAGTATAACATATTGCATTAGTGTTATTTTTACATCTGCCTTAAATTCAGCTATTTCAGTGGTCTAAAATCTGATTGGTAGGGATGCACAGATACCGATACTAGTATTGGTACTGATAGAGTATTGGGGTGAGTACTCCCACTCGCCCAAATGCTCCCGATACTGGAACTTCCAGTGTCAGGAAGCCGGGCGGTGAGTCATTACACTATTGGCTGCCAAGTTGCAAGGTCCTCTCAGGCTCCAGAAGGCTGCACAGCGTTATGCCATCACAAAGAGGCGACTGGTCAGAATGGATACAGACGGCAACACTGTAATTACTAGTGAATAGGTGGAAGGGTTGTGGGAGAACTTTGTGGGAGGAGTTTTAATACCCAGACATTTTATGGATTGATTTCCATGTTTGAAATAACTACAGCATGAAAACCATACGCAATGTTCCAATCTAACCCACATTAAAGAATAATGGAACAGCAGAGGACTGGGGGATAAAAGGGAATAATGGAGCTCTGTTCTACCTTTAATTTTAAATAGAACTTTAGAGGATAGAATGACAGTAGCCAATATTATTGACTTGTTTTTAGAAAAGGTATGGCATGGGAGTTCAGACTTTACTAGAGCCATGCTTGTTCCAGGTCTGTGACATCATGTAGTAAAGCCAGGATGCAAATGAGTGCAAAGACGCATGCAGCTCTAAAAACAAAGTCATCAGTGGGTAATCCAATATTACTATGCTTACAGGTACAAGGGAATGGATTCCAGGGATGGAAAAAAAAAGCACAACCAGCTGTGGTTGGCTGAAGTAGCCATGTTAGGCAAGAATGATACAAAAAGGTTCTAACTAAGAAATGTTAACGGTGGTATAATATACTACTTTCAGAAATAGACTGTAGGGAAAAAAATATATATAGGGTGCCTTCCTTCCACCCCTAGACTGAAAACTGGACAATTAAAGCAGAACTCCAGGGAAGCAGGGCTACCCCCATACTGTAAGGGTTAAGTGCTCATTTTGGTTAGGGAGGAAAATACCCATCCAATCCTCAGAGCTGGCCGGCTATGACAGCAATCCCTCGAGCCAGTCTCCTCCTCCACTGAAGTGATGTTATGGCCTTTGGCAGTCTCACGTCCTATACACAGAGCGTGTAAGACGTGAGGACTCACAAACCTTAGACCGCTGCAGCAGAGGGGGAAGAGAGGCTCCAGGGACCAGTCTAACAGCCAGCTGGCTCTGAGGAACAGGTATAACTTGTTCCTTGTCAGTACAGTTGCATGAGACACACATTTGACTTGCTCCCAGACCTGCCCCTGGGGATTGGAAGAGGGCAATGCCTAGTCCAGGAACGTACGGTAGCTGCATTAAAAAAATCTATTTAATGATTTGTAAATGAATACCTTGCTGCAGTAATTTGTGTCCTAGGTCTGCTTGCATTTCAGCTTTAAAGAAGAACGCTACGTTTTCATTGTAAGGGCTAACTGCTTTTTTATTTGGCCCCTAGACAAAAATATGATCTACTCACCTGATCTTCAGTCCTGCAGCATCAGTCAGCGCTCACCTCTCCACCTTCACTCCAGCTGTGGAATATCCCTCAGTATCCTCACATCTAATGCAGGTGAACAGGGGCGTCCCCTATAGTGGCCGCTTGGTGACACCCTGCTGGGACATCATCACGCACGTGCGTAATGATATCATGCGCGTGTACCTGCCGGCGGCCATCTTGGTGATGATGTCGGCAAAGAGGAGGGGATGGTTACCTGGTGGGATACAGTATGCTGCCGGGCCCCTTCCTATCTTGTGCATCTGTCGGGCTCTCGGTCCATGACCCAGTGCCTGACTTTTCAGAGGGGGGGGGGGGGGGGCGGGGGCAGCCAAGAGAC